GGGGCTGCGGGGCTGCGGGCAAAGATCTTCCGAATCTACGGGGCTGCGGGCAAAGATCTTCCGAATCTATGGTCAGGTTTTGAGAATTCGGGTAAGTGGGACTTGGCCCCGGGGCTGCGGGGCTGCGGGGCTGCGGGGATTAGGAATTTGCGGTAACCTTGGGAGGCTTCTCATCCCCCTCTAACCTGCCCAGCCTCAAATGCCGCTCCTGCCGGGTCATACCCAACCCATTTTGATTGGAATAGGCATTTGTTTTGGCGCCAAACCTCCTTATTTTGGAGAAATTTCAGAGATACAGGTTTGGAAAAGTATCCTAGCACATATAAGTTGGTGCCAAAACCCCTTTTTTGGGAGAAATTGCAGCAATATAGGTTGGAGAAGTATCCTAGCATATATACCCCGTCCATTCGTGTACATTTTCGAAAAGTTTGGATGGTAATTTGGTAAAGTTTGGACGCAAATTTACAGGCCGGTATGTTCTTTTGTGACAGAGGCCCGGTCTGCCTGGCCTGAGGCCAGTTGTCCAAGGCCGACAGGTCCTCTGTTGCAAAAGGAAGTACCCCTGGGGTGAGGTCCCACTAGCAAAGAGGATTGGATTGAACGCCGGAATCTAGACGTGTTCCGGGAAAAGTGCAGAAATTTGAGATTGAACAGCTTTTCTGCATCTCTGCTTAAAACACATCCAGATCCAGGAGCTAAATCCAATCTTCTTTGCTAATGGGACCTAGGCCCTGGAATATTCGTCACCGAAGAAGGTAGAAACAATGGGGTAACTTCAGTAGAGTCGGAGTCGCAAAAAGAGTTATAATTGCACTATGGGGCAAGATACAGTTTGCAATTGCACTTCGGGCACCCTACCTGGCCAGAAAGCTGGGTTGTATGCATTGCGCGAACTGCAATTAGAAAGTGTATCTAGCTCAGTGGTTAGAGCACCTGTTGGAAATGCACATTGTGGTATGAGGTTGAGGGTTCAAAACTCCGCATCCTTGCACATGGACACCGGCAGGGCGTTAGAATGACGCACGGCTGGACACACACTCCCCTGGGCTGACGCATGGTACTATTACAGACACTGCCTGTGCAGGGGGCTAAGTCCAGGGATGTTGTATGCTGGCCTTCTTCACGTCGGTTGCTAGTTGTTGTTGGCTTTGGTCGCTCTGATGATCTCCCCCAGATGATAGGCGTTTCGATGACCAAGTACCCCCCTTAAAATCAGCTAGACTGCTTGTGGCAGACTAGGGCTGTGGTGGGCGAGTAGAGGGCGTGAGTCACTGGTTGGTCTGGATTAACTGATCATGATAGAGGGCGTGAGTCGCTGGTTGGTCTGGATCAACTAATGATGATGATAGGCGTTTCGATGACTAAGTACCCCCTTTAAAAGCAGCTAGACTGTGTGTAGCAGACTAGGGCTGTGGTGGGCGAGTAGAGGGCGTTAGTCACTGGTTGGTCCGGATTGAGTAGAGGGTGTGAGTTACCAGTTGGTCAACTTAGGGGCTAGTAGGAGATTGCTTGGGCCTGGCGTCTGAAGTTCCCGTGCAATGAGGCTCGTTCCATTCCGCTTCCACCATGGCTGGGTCATGGCTAGCCCTGGTGCCTGTCACTGCTGTTTTGTCCAAGTTCCCCTCGATAGGGGAATGGTCCTGAGTGCTGGTCACACTGAGGTAGGATAGTAGAGATAGGGGGTGCGCTAGGAGTATTGACGTGAGGATGGGATGGGAAGGTAAGCCTCGTTTCCTCAGGACGACCATGGCTGACCGCTCCTGGCGATCAATGTCTGCCTAGTAACCGGCCTCTACAACACCCTGGGCTTTCTGATAAAAAAAAATGGAAGAAAAAAAAAGAAAGTGCATCTTGGCCCATAGTGCAATTATAACTCATTTTTGTGACTCCGCGTAGTTTCACTTTTTTGTTTTTTTCACAAAAAGACTCAGCTCATTTGATTACGTACACCAGAAGAGACCCCGGGAATCCTCAGCAAACAACACCAAAAAGAAACAAAGAGGTACTGGGACCATTACCCAGCTTAGGTGCAGGCGTCCGGGTGGTATCGAGAGAACAGAAATGGCCAGAACCAGACCGCTGTCCTGATAACTCCCAACCCTGGAAAAGAAGAACTGCCAGAGTCCAGAAAAGCCTAACAAACCATAACAACCCTGGAAAAGAACCCCCAGAGTCCATGAAAGCCTAACAAACCACAACCCACCCCCAAAACAGTTCCACAGGGCCCACAAAAGCCAAATAATCCTAAAACTTTTTTTTTTTGGGTTCATGTGCATAGAAACTTTATAAAAGCGGCATTTCTGCAAGTTTGTATATTTGTCCAAATTGTCCTAATACATACTTCTCCAAACCAATATTTTGCGCTTGCGAAACCTTTTTCACGCCCCAAACCTGCGTAGCATCGCTAATGCATACTTCTCCAAACCAATATTTTGCTTTTGCGAAACCTTTTTCACGGCCCAAACCTGCGTACCATTGCCTTCGTGACCGAACCCGAATGCTTGGTACCGAGCCCAAATGTGGCCCAAAAATCGACCGAGCCCGAACATTGATTTATTATATATATATATATACACACACACACACATACACATCCCATACACACACACACATCCCATACACACACACACACACACACACAAAGCCACATTAGCTGACACAGCTGATGCAACGCCTACAACAGTTGCTGCCGTAGTAACTGATACAGCTGATGCTGCTGCATTTGCTGCACACAAACACATAATCACACACGCACACACACATACACACACACCCCAACACCCACACACACACCCACACAGACACACAGACACACACACACACACACACACACACACACACACACACACACACACACACACACACACACACACACATGTGGCCACCTACTATGCCCCCCCCGGGGACCGGAATGGCCGAAATGGCCCCGGTACCGGCCACACGAGGACATGTTCGGCAGCCCTCTACTTTGTGCTGGGCCGAACATGTTTGGTTCCCGCTTGGCGGAGCGACCAGAATGGCCGAAATGGCCCCAGTACCGGCCACACGAGGACGTGTTCGGCAGCCCTCTACTTTGCGCTCGGACGAACATGTTCGGTTTCCGCTCGACGAAGCGTCCGCATGTTCCGATGCTCGGTGGGGCGCCAAACATGTTCGGTGTGCTGCACACGCCCAAACCTTTTTTGTTTATTTTTTATTTTTATTTTCCCCCGACACGAAGTAAGCAAAGCAACTTCTCTTATCGTTGTTTTTCTATGGACTGCCTTTTTTGTTGTCTTTCTTGCATTCTCCTTAGGCCTTCCGCCCCCCCCCCTTCCCCCACTTTTCTTTTCTTTTCAAGTCCAGGCTGCTGTAGAGGTTGGATGGTAGAGATCTGCGCGATTACCCTCAGTACTCGGCCATTTAATTTTCCGGTTTGTCTCTAGGATGCTAGCCCATAGTTCTCCGGAGTCCCTCCCTACCTCTCAATATTTCCTGCCCTCCCCCCCCCACAACATCCTACCTCTTCTCCAGGATATCACTCTACTTTGGAGCAATCTTGACGAGACATCGATCGTGGGCACCAACGCTAATTGGGAGCCCTGTTCAGCCCTGGTTGAGGCAGTATTGTACAAGCCTCGTTCCACTGGTACCTTGGGAGCTAGGCATCAGTCTATTTATTCTATCAACCTTGCAAGCCTCCATGGGTGGCCCCCAACTTATCCCCCTCTCCCCTACGTAGCACATATGTTTTCAGCCCCATTCTGATATGGACTAAAGGGATCAGCATAGTTCTGTATAGAGCCTTTAAAAAAAAAAAAAAAAAAAAAAAAAAAAAAAAAACACCCTGAAATGCTGCTAGAGGTGCTGATAAGAGCAGACACCACTAGCACTATCGGGGAGGCTCCATCTATTGGTGGGGAGCAGCACCTGCTGGAAACCGGGTCCAGCGTCCCATTGATACATCTTTGCTGAGAAACAAGCGCTTACATCAGATTGGTATTCTGTCAGCATTGATTGCTCTGGGTTATTCCAGAGGATTGACTGAACAGAGGGTATGAAAGGGGAGAACCTCTT